CATGCCCTTTTAAAACCCCTTCCCCAGCTCTCCTTCAGGTTCTGAAAGGCCACTATGAGGTTTCCTCAGAGCCTACTTCAGAGAAGAGCCCTAGCTGTCTGTCCTCAAAGGGGAAAAAACATTTTTTCCCCTATTCCTTCCTCCAGAAGTTTTCCAAATTGTCAAATCAAACTGAAGTTACAAATTGCCATAACTGTGCAACTAAGCCCAACTGCGAGACCTTAGTGACCCACATGTTACTGCTATAAAGAGACGTGTGTGAGTGTATCCAGACCTTGGCTGAGGAGCCAAACGTAACTTGCTAACTAACAGGGCAGATTATCCTCAGGTTATATGCTGTTTTCAGAAATTTCCTGTAGGGAAATGTAACCTGCCGTAGGGAACCTGCTTTAGGGAACCTGCTTTAGCAGGGAGTTGGACTCGACAATCTCCAGAGGTCCCTTCCAACCCCTGCAGTGCTGGGATTCTGTTCTCCGGGCTGAGCAGCCTCATTTCTCTCAGCCTTTCCTCACAGGAGGGACGCTCCAGTCCAGCGCGGCCTCACCAGTGCTGAACAGCAGGGAAAAATCTCCCTCAGCACGCTGGCAACACTCAGCCTCACGCAGCCCGGGAATCAGTGTCACCGCTGACCCACGTTGAGCTGATGCCCACCAGCACCCCCAGCTCCTTTTCTGGCAAGCTGCTTTCCAGCTGCGTGCCCCCAGCACGCGTTGCTTACTGTTCACGGGACAGCAATGAGGCTGGCAGCAGCCACAGCTGCGGACCTCCCCACGGAGACGGCGGCACCTCGAGGCCCCTGGCACACCAGCGTGCCCGTGGGCAACGAGAGGGGCGTGGCTCTTCCCGCCCGCGGCCAATCCCGAGAACCGTCGCCGCCGCGCGCCAACTTCGCCCCCCTGCGCCCAGCCCCTCGGATTGGTGAGGCCCGGCCGCGAGCTTCATTGGCCGGGGCGGGCGCGCGGGGCCGCTTTTGTGGCGGGCGGGCGGGCGGCGCGTGGCCTCGTCGTTGCCGCCCGCCCCCCGGGGGAGCGGCCCCTCCCCTCCCACCTGGGCGCCGCGTGGGCCATTGTCACACAACATTCCAACTCCGAACGCCCCGCTGCTCGCCGCCGCCGCCTCCCATTGGCTTGCTCAGCTCGGATTGACAGGCTGAAGAACCAATAGCCGCCGGTCTCCAAGGCGCCCGCTGGCGCCGCCCCTCACAGCGCTGGCAGTAACAATATGGCAGCGGCGCCTATTGGTGGCGGCGCGCTCTGAGCGTAGGGCGCCCTGCGGCGGTGGCGGGCAGCGGATCCCGGGGCGGGCGGCGGCGCCGAGCCCGGGCAGGTGAGTGCGGATGGGTCGCTCCCTCGCCCCATGGCATAGCGCCGCGCCGCCCTCCCGGCCCGGCGGCTGAGAGCCCCCCGCCGCCTCCACGGATGGGGGGCCCGGTCGGGCCGCGCTTCCACACCGTCACCGGTGGGTGAGCGGGTGGGCGCCCGGTCGCGGCCCCGCTTTTGTTCGCGGTTCTGGCCGGCGGTGCCGGCCCCGAGCATCGCGGCTCCCAGGTGTCACCCCGCAGCCGGGCTGCCCGCGGGCACGGCGCTAACGGGCGCCCGGAGCTGTACACCCGGGGGGCGGGAGGTGCAGGGGGAACGGGAGCGGGCGGCCCGGTGCCGCGCCGGGGGGAGTCGGCGGCGAGCGGATGGCCGTGCCGTGTCGTGTCGTGCCGCGCTCAGAGAACGCGTGGGAATGGATGGGGAGCAGCCGCGAGGCGTGAGGTGATGATGGCTCGGGTGCCCCATCCGCGGTCAGAGCATCTCCTCTCCCCGCACCGTGAAAGAGCTTCTGTCAATTTCAGCGACGCCTCCGTGCGGCGCGATAAATGAAGGGACAAGGGCGTGCGGGGCACCTTCCCCCCCGGCAGCCCCCCGTAGGGCACAGCGGGTCACGCTGCGCCTCGTGGGACGGTCCCGCGGGGCTGGGGGTCCGGGTGACCTTGGGAAGCGCCGCGGCTTTTCGCTCAGCCTTTGCATCGGCTCTCCTCGTAAACCTCGAGCGCTTTGGCCGGGGTTGCTCCGTGCGCGGGCTGCGGGAAGCGCCGCTATACGGCTCGGGCTGGAAGGAACCTCGGCAACCGAGCCGTTGTTGGCTTTGCGCGTGTGCCGTGGCGGCCGTGGCACGCTGCGATGCTGTGCTGCTCGGGGTAAGATGTGGCTCAAGGGGGGCACGGATGGCTCCATCCCTCCCAGCCCGTGGTCTCGCACTCTTTGTACGGTGTGATGCGGAAAGGAAACGTTTAGAGAGGGGGTTCTCCCCAACAAGCGCTTTATTGGTAACCTCTTTGTCACGGTGTTCTTGCTTTAATGGCCAACTCGTATTTTGGAGCCTCTAAACAAATACAGCACTCATCATCTTTAAGGATAATTGGCTTTGAGAGCTGTCTCTCTGAAACTGAATCATAAACTGAAGCAAGTTTGACTGCCATTTGCCTTAAAAGAAACAGGACGTGCTGCTCTTTTAAATGGCCTTTTTGGCCAGGTTTGTGCAAGTCCAACTCAGCATCTCCCCTGGTGATGGACCCGGCCTTGCTTGGGAGAGGATGGACCTTAATGGAGGGGGTTGTGTGATTGTTCTGTGCCTGGGAATGTTGGGAAGACCTTGTGATGCATTGGTGGATGGGACCATAGCTGTAGTACGGTTCTCACTGGAGTACCAGCAGAACCTGTTAGATACCAGTGCTGTCTGTGCCTCATACAAAGTTCTCGTGCTGTAGTGAGCTGTGTGGTATAAATAGAAATGCTAGAGATTTTAGCCACAGAATTCAAAGTTACGGTTTCCACAGCAACCGGCACTCAGGCCGTTGTCTACGTATGCAATATTTTCCTTCTTTATTTATTTATTTGCCCCCCCCCCCCCCCGGGGGTGTTTTCTTAATCTGGCTTCTCTTGTTGTGCTGTGTCAAACCCTCTTCGACGAGCACCTGGCGCTTCCTCCTGCTCTTCTTTGGAGCTTCCTTCTTGCTGCATTCCCAGCTCTGGCAGCTGAAAGCACTGTGCCCCAGCCCCATCCTGCTCATCCTCTGCGTTTGTGTTCTTCTGAGCCTTCCTTTCAGTAGGAGCCCTTGCTTCCAGCTCAGGTGTGACTGGCACAGTACAAATACAAGCAGAACTCCTGTATTTGTACCCCTGGCTCATCCTACAAGTACACATGTGTGTTCCCATTTCCTTCATCTGATGAGACACGATTAGGATGGTAGGTCCATGCTACCCCTGAGCTCTTCTGTGGGATGCAGCCTTCTCAGGTGAACATTAGGACACAATGCTTGCTGTTAAGTCTTTGTCACCCAAGCGCTGTGGTGTTGCTGAGGTGTTTTCACTTATAGCCAGGGGGTTGATGTATAGACGTGGTTGTGTCTAAGTTACTGTTTCCAGAGCAACCGAAGGTTTACATCTTGGAAGGCTGTTGATTAAAACATGAAGCATCATATCAAATTTTCCCTTCTTAAATTCTGTATTTTTTAGCTACTGTTAGAAATGCAGCTAGGCTTATCTGAGAATACATGTAAAAACCTTAAATGACCAAGCAGATCTTCTTCAGACATGTACTTCTGCGGTGAGAATGGGAAATTTCAGCCCCTGAAGTAGTAATTACCTTTAGAGTTACAGCATAAGGCACTTTAGTTAAAGAAAAAAAGAAGTGGAATGGAAGTGTTATCTCATCTGTATCTACAACCAGAGCTAATGACAAAAGTGCAATTGGGCAAGGAGTAAAAGGGCTGATGTAGGCTGAAAGCAGATGTGAAATGAAGGGTTGTTATGGCTGGAGAACTGCTCCTACGAGGGCTGGGGACCCAGGATCCCCCCCGTGTCTGGGAGCAGTTGGGCAGACTGCGGTGCCGGAGGCTGTTTAATATATTTATTATCTCTTTGGCTGCTGCTCCATGCAAAACTGGGTCTCTCTTGCAGTTTCACAGATGGTTTTGCTCTGAGCAGTAATGCCAAAGACCTTCAGCGTCAAAACAGGTCACTTTCCCATTATAACTCAATTTGAGCCAGCGTTACTTTCAGAAGAAGTTGATGCATCTGCATCGTGGGCTTTCTCCTTGCTCTGTGAAGAATTTTCTAAGTAATGGGAATGTTGTTCCCTTATAAATTGCTCTACTGGATAGTGGGATTGGTTTGTGCAATGATGCTGTAAAATGGTTTGCAGGTTGCCTGGGAATCTGAGACAGGAGGCTTTAAGTGTTGGCTTGAGCTAAAAGGAATTGCAAACAGAAGGTCTCCAGGGTCTCCCTTTCTATTACTGTTAGTAACCTTCCAGCCTAATGTTTTTCTTTATTTACTTTATGTATATAAATATATATATGAATGTTCCATTGATGTTGCCGCCCGTAATAGCATTGTCAGCAGCCTATGGCTTTTGCTTAATAAAATGGAGGAACGATTCCTCTCCTGCGAGATGGTTTTTAAATGAAATTTAAGCCCAAACCTTTGTGGTCTTTGGTATGCTGCCCAGATTATAGAAACAAAATGATTGAAAAGGCAGCTGGTAAGTGCTTGAAGTAAATTGAAATACCTTGAACTTCTAACTGAGTCTCCTTTACAAAGGTGGAGATTTTGTTTTCTCTGTAGTCAGCCCAGCCTTCGAGATACGAGGAAGGATTTTGGATGGTGTGCAGAGGAGCAGGCTGTCCTCTGTAGCTGTATCCCACCTCCATGGCAAGCAGTGCTGGGTGGGAAAGCAGAGAGAGCTGACAACAAAGTGGGAGAAGAACTAGATTTTTTGCTGGAATAAAAACTCCAATTTTCTTGGAAGCTCAGAAGCTACCAGTGCATGCCATGCTATCAGCTTAATTGTCTAAGCCTTGCTAAATAAAGGTGCGTGTGCTGGGCTTCTGCACTGTGAAGGTGCATCTATCTTTGCAGCAGGGCATGTAGTTCTATTTTTCTCCAGTGCACAATATGAACACACCTCTTTTTTGACCTTCTCTATTAATTTCAGTGGCTAAAGCCAAGTCTTCAGAGCAACTGGGCATCTGCAAGCTGGCACAAAATCCCCAATCCATTAACATTACAGCAGGTTTGTATTAAGAACTTCTTGCCTGAGAGGTGCAGGCACTGGAGGGATGGGGCTGTGTGCCTGAGGGCTGACCTGGTTAGCTATTAGGGAGAAGTTCTTTCCTTGGAGGGCAGTGAGGCACTGGTACAGCTGCCCAGAGAAGCTGTGGTGCCCCATCCCTGGAGGCACTCAAGGCCAGGTTGGATGGGGCCCTGGGCAGCTGAGCTGGTGGGGGGCAGCCCTGCCCATGGCAGGGGTTGGGGCTGGGTGGGCTTCGAGTCACCTTCTGATCCAAACCATTCTATGATATGATTCTTTGGCCACAAAAAGTGGCACGGAGGAGGAGAAAGGCAAGATGGAAGAAGAAAGGCAAGGGGTTATGTCTGCAGATAAATGATGAGGGGAGATGGCCTGTTCCAGAATGTGGGATGGCACTCGTTCTCATGTAAGCCTAGTAAGCTTCTCTAAAAACAATTGTTTTGCCTTAAGGTTGGGAAACATAACAGCAATTTTCTGTATTTTGAATTTTGCAGTCTACACTGCAATAATATGCATATTTGGAACACGTTGTGTTTAAAAGATTTTTTGAGAAACATTTGGCCACAGTTGCCTTCTGCATCAGAGAACTGTATGGCTTTGCATTATTCAGCATGTCTTTATGTTTAATCGCTTTTTCCCTTTCACATGCTTTGTTCCTAAGATTAGAAACATTTTTTTTCCTCGTGGATAAATCATTTAAACACCTGAACTGATTACATGCATGCATCTGAGCTCAGAACAGTCACGACTCTATTTTTTTTTTTCTTATTCAGAGACTGACTTTTCTGAAGAAGATGCAAAGCACCTGAAAATAGCTCCATCACAGAAGCATCAAGCATCACTTTAAAATTATTGCTATCACGTCCTGGATGCTGCCAGTGTACTTCTGCCTCCCTCCTCATCGTAAGTGACGTCTCTTGAGGCAGTCAGGGGCTTATTGATGGCTACTTTGCAGAGGTAAAGGGTGTGCGTTTCTGAAGGGCAAGGCTGTCCTCTCCTTTGCAGAATGATGGCAAAGACCTGGATGCAGAGAGGGTTTGGGGTGTGCCTTATGGCTGCCCCTTTTGTTGGTGGGGGCAGATTTCATAGAATCATTGAATGGCCTGGGTTGAGAAGGAGCACAATGATCATCTAGATTCAACTCCCCTGCAATGTGCAGGGCTGCCAACCAGTAGACCAGGCTGCCCAGAGCCACATCCAGCCTGGCCTTATTGATGGGGAGGATGGAGGGCCTGCAGCAGTATTTCCTGCTTTATGGGAAAATGCACTTCTCTTTTCATTTCAAAACGTGTTTTCAAAGAGGAGCTGCTCTTCTGCTCTCCCCAGGTAAAGCCATGCATGCTCCACAGCCTACTTGGGAGAGCTGCAACCCAACTGCCAAAGGAAAGGAGTCTTTTACCCAAATAAGGGACCCCGTCTCATCCTGCACCCCCATCAGTCTGTGCTCTGCTGTTTCATCTCAGCCTGGCTGGTGCTAGCACTGTGGGATGGCTGGAGCTTCCTCTCCCTTTGTTGTAGAAGTACTCTTAGGAACTACCTTTGTAGAGCAACTACATATCTCTAGGCTAAAGCTGAACCACAGCTGGAAAACATCTCTCACTGAAAACATCTGAAGATTTAAGACCTCATGCCAGAAAACTGTGGCCTAGTGCTTTGTCCATGACGTGCTGCTTTATCAGTGTTAGTCAGCCAGAACACGAATACCTTGATCTTCTTTATCTCACCCCTCTTTACACATAGAGGAAAAACAGGGAGAAAATGTGCAGTGCTGTTAGGAGAGATCTTTTGCTTTTTTCAGTGTTTTGTACAGCAGCCCACCTGGACCCTCTGGATTTGCAATCACGTCAGCCTTGTGTCTGGCTCTCCACCCTCTGATGAGTGATGTGCTGCCAGGCACCGGGTTTTCAGCACACGTGAGCAGTTCCTGCTCAGATGCAGGTCCTGCTTGGCTGTCAGACCCATCCGTTATAGCAGCAGCATCTTTGTTGTTTTGAATCACTTCTTGCCTTAATCCGTCACACTTGGTTCCCTTTCTTCTTCCAAAGCAAACTGTGTGCCTGCTATCTGCTGGCTCAGTGTGGGGTGGGCGCAGTCCCCTAGTGACCCCATGCAGTGGGGCTGTCCCTCCATACACCAGGCCAGCAGCTCATTAGATGTGTTGCATTAGCTCCTCAAATCATTTTGTTTTGTGCTTATCGACAGTGTATCACAGAGCCTGTGGAGTACTGCATACTGAGTTTCTGGAGAGCATTGGTGCTCTTTGAAATTGTTATTTTAAAGGCTTAATTCATGCCCTGTCTGTTTTTATCCACATCTACGTAACTCACGTGAGGCCTTTATGTGTTGCTTGTTCCTTCATCGTGGACCTGCTCTAGTGTTTGGGTAGCACAGCTGGCTGACACCATTTCAGAGCCAGTTTTAGAACTGGTATCCACTAACAAACAAAAATCAGCCTCTCCTTGAATAAACCAAACCTCCAAACCATGGATACAGCTGGCTTTATTTTTCCCTTTGTATCATGTACTTTTGCTATCATGCTATTGGGGGGAGGGGGACTGGCTTTTGATGGGAAGGATTTAGGATCTGCTGGGCAGCGAGGTGGAGCGCTGTCAGCAGCCAAGCTGTGTGACAGAGAGCAAGAACAGGTGAAGCATCTTCCTGAAGCAACTCGGATTCCCTGAACAATTAGGCAAGATAGGTGAGAGAGGCAAAAAGCAAAGTGCAAAACCATGCAGGAAGTGGGCTGCTAGGGAAGTATTTTGAGGTGAGGCTGTTGCTGGGAGAGGGGGGATGCTGAAGTGTAATGTATGGGGTGTGGGAAGGAAAACCTTTTCTGAAAATTTGGCATGTGACGGTGAGAAAACCTGTTGCACTCCTACAGCAGAGGATGACAAAAGGAGCTTCTGTTCACTGGATGCTCTCTGTATGGTGAGTGTTAAAATTGCACACGTCCACATGCTAAGTGTACGTATTGCATTGCTGAAAAACTGCACCTAAATCCTACCAGACTTGTTACTGACAAAATACGTTTCCTCACTTGGCCATTGTTGTCTCCTGGGAAAGTCATACGAGTTGGATTAATTTAATGGCAGGACTGCTAGTTAATGAAGTCAGTGGGATTGGGATTTCGCCTCGTGATTCAGAAAACTTGGTTTGTTCTGTTGCTTGAGGCCGTGCAGTTGTAAAAACGTGATTGCTTCATGCTCTCATTTTGTAAAGGGTAGTGACTGAGGTAACTTGAGCTGACACAGTTACCTGCCAAAATAATTAAGCGCAGAGCTAAATGAATATAAAAAGACCAGACAAGTAAATTGCTTTGTACAAATATCCTTTTTTTTTTTTCTTTGAGGCTTGCTTAGGTACGTAGTTCTGTAAAAAAGGTGAGCATTTAGTATTAATGGATCTGCTGTTTAATATCAGCTGGGAAGAAGGAGCTGAGGATTAGCATGGAAATGTATGCAATTTTAAGATAAATTGATTGCATTTCATCTTTTCTGTGTGTAGCTTTCCCTCAAACTGCCAATGGGAGTTCAATAACTAATGGACAGAGCGTTTCATTAAGCGTGCATTAAGCCCAGAATAGTTAACAACTGCCTCTTTGGGATGCCCTTTCTATATTAGCTCCTCCTATGGGGTATGTAGTCTTGTTTTCTATTTTTGTTTGCTTGCTTACTTTTAAAGATGTCAGTGAAGATGGTAGGACTGTTGTGTCCATTCTTTTATTTCCCTTTGGAGAGCACTTGGCTACAGTAAGATTTTTCTTTATGTATTTTGCCTTTGGTAGCAATTACTGCTGCCTGCAGTTGTGGCTTCCAGTTTAGAACAAAGCTGTTTTGTGCATCCAGTGAGTAATCATTGTTGATAAAGTTGGGGACCTCTCATTGTGGCTAGGATGTCAATTATACCAACTGCTACCAAGCTCAAATTATAGGTTTGTAATTTTTGCTTCAGGGCTTGTCACGCTGGAATATTCTTCGCCCTGTTAATAAACTAAAAAAGAAATCGGTGTTAAAGGTCTTTCTCAAACCTATTAAGTGAGACATAGAGTTGAAGTGTCTCGATTACTGCCTAGATTCCCATCTTTACTGCTGTCTGCTGGGACAGCTTGCTGGTGCAAACCTCAGCCTGAGCCCACAGTGGCAAATAGCTTTGGCAGATGGGGCCTCGGCAGTGTGTCCTTCTTCCTTGCAGCTTTAAATAAGGTAATTGATGCTACCTGAGCATTTTTCAGTTTATTTTTCTTGGTTAAACTTTTGTAAGGAGGAGGGCGTGAGAATAGATGTGTTATTAACAAATGTACAGGAATGTTGCTTGCCCAGAAATGATTAGGAGATTAAGTAATGGATTGATTGCAGTTATTCATCTGGAACCCTCCTAATGTGTGTAGACACAAGGCACTCATCCTTTCTGAAAGGGGGCTGTGAGAGTAGGGATGTGCTGTGTTGTGCTGCAGAGAATTGTCTACTGGCAATTCACACTGCCATCCATGCTTTGCAAATGAAAACAGTTCAGCTTTCGACTCGTATTTCACGGCTGCTGGTGGCGGAGAGTTGCAGTCGTGCATTCTGGAGAGAACTGGGTGACACAGGTGTTTATAGAATCACAGAATGGTTTGGGTTGGAAGGGAGATCAATGATCCAATCCCTGCTGTGGGCAGGGCTGCCCCCACCAGCTCAGGCTGCCCAGAGCCCCATCTAACCTGGCTTTGAGTGCCTCTAGGGATGGGGCAGCACAGCTTCTATGGGCAGCTGTGTCAGCACATCACTGCCCTCTCAGTGAAAAAATTCCCACTATCATCTAAGCTAAATCTCTCCTCTTTTAGTTTAAAGTCATTTCCCCGTGTCCTATTGCTGTCATACCATCTCTCTCCTGTATATAAGCTCTGGTAAGTACCGGGAGGCCACAATATGCTCTACCCAGAGCCTTCTCCAGGCTGAACAAGCCCAGTGCTTTGCTTGCCCCTACTGCTGTTCATGGTGGCTGTGGGCTTCTGGTCAGTCCATGGCTCTGATCTGCCTAACCAGTAGCTAGCCAAGATGAGCCTTGCTCAGGTGCTGTCTGGCTGCCTCTATCCATCTCCAGCATACCAGAGTCAAAGAAAGAATTGTGGCTTCATCACAAGAAAAGGTTTGCCTTGCTGCTACTTTGGGCTTCACTGTTTCAACCTATTGCACAAATAGAGGTGTTTTCCTTAAACAGCTGCAGCTGCTTTGTAGTAGTTTGTGGTTGGGGCATGTGATGCATTTTTAGGATTCCTGGGAAATGTTATTGTTGTTTTTTTTTTTCCATTCTTTTTTTAGTGTATTATGATGATGCTTAGAAATTCATATGGGGTTTCTGGTGGCTTGCCATACAAGGAGAAGGACAGGGGCCTTGTGCTGAATAGTGTGGTGTAAGGGATTTCATGTCCTTGTGAGTGCGTTCCAGGGCACAGGAGACTGCATCCTCCAGGTACAGCAGTACCCAAGTGCTGTTATTCCCCTCTTACTTAATTTCTGATGGGCTGCACCACTTTTTGTGATGACTGTATGCAGTTCTCTCCAGAGAACGTGAACTTGAAATCTGGCAGCTTACTGCTACACATCATACATACATACAGGTGTAGGTCATGTGCAGGGCTCGTGTTAGGCTGGGAAAAGGCCCAGGGAGAAAAAAACAGTGGCATTGCTGACCATGTCCACATTGTGGGTGCAACTTTTTTTTGTGCCTTGGAACAGGGGTGAATTAATTGCTGTGTTAAAGGCCCGGTGTAGCTGCAGAGGGCTGTGCACAGCTTTCTGCAGGCAGTTGCTGGGGCATGTGACTGTGAGGCACTTGGGCTCGCTACTTGCATTGCTCACTTCAGCTTGCTTGGGCCATTTGTGGTTAACATGAGCATTTCTGGATGCTCTAAGCTTATGGGAAGCAGCTAGGCAGGGAAAAAAAACAAAAAAACAACTGCTACGTGTTTATGGAATGTTATGACTTCAAAGGTACACCGAGGTGGTTTACCGAGGAAACTCAGTATCTTTTCTGTTTCTGTGCACTGAAAGACCATAAGTCGGCCTGGTGTGGGGAGGAAGAGGGAGATGCTTATTTGGAGATGTACCTTTGAGACTGTATGAGGAGGGGGTGTACCTGATGTAGGCCCCTCGAGGGGCCTAGGTGGTCAGAGTTATGCTGGTGCTGGCCCCTATGATTCGTGTCTGGGTTTAGACCTTTTTCCTTGCCTGTTTGTCCTCAACAGTAAATTAATAAAATAAAAAAAACACATCTCTGCTCTTTATATTTTCATCCTGATAAATGCCCTTCTCTCTTCTTAGACTAGGAAAAGAACAGTTTTGAGGCTTGTGCATGTCTTGCCTCCAAGGCAGACTGAATG